AGAGCACGTGGCCGGGTGCTGCCCCAGAGACACGGGCCGGCGCAGGGCCCAGTGGTCAGAGCTCTCTGGCCAGCCACGCTCTTCACCTTGCCGCGGTGGGGCACTGGGCGCTGTCGGCTTGCTCACACCGGGGTGGCGTGTGCCGGCCAGACTCGCACGAGGCCACCTGCTGGCCGGCACTTACCCAGCACGTGGCCTGCAGCGGCCACGCTCCCTGCACAACGGCCTTGAAACCGGACAGCGGCCCGGCGGGTGAGGAACTCCGCCGCACCTGGGGAAGAGGTTTGAGGTTCTCGTGGATTTATCTGGTCTCAGATGACCCGAGTTCCTGACCGACAGCGCTTCCCTTCCATTGAGTCTAGAACTTGAACTCTCAACTGACACGAAACCAAAAGTCAGATTTTGGCTGAGGTCGACTTCCTGGTTCGTAGTTGACACTCGCAGTCGCCTTCGGGTTCGTGTCGCACAGAGCTGTGCTGGGGCCTGTGGCGCCTGGTTGAGGGGGTCCCGGTGGGGACCTGGGGCCGGCGGCCAGGTGCTCGGTGTGCAGTGAGGGCTGCGCCAGCGAGCACTTGGGGGACGACGGGACAGGGAGAGGCGGGCAGATGCCTCCGGCCAGGACCGGCGGGACAGGGGTGCGGCTCCGAGCCGGAGCGGCGCACCGGCAGCCAGCAGTGCCCCCACCAGGCCCGGACCTCGGTCACCGAGGGGGCAGCCACGGGCACAGCGGCCTGGGTGCCGCCCGACCGGCCGGCTGCGCACACCGGCGTCCCCACGCGGCGGCTGCGGAGCGGCATGGTGCTGGTGCCTCTGCTGATTGATGCCTTTTCAGATGCGGCGTCTGGAGAAGAATTGGATTCCCTGGCAAAACATGAATCCAGGGAAGATAAAGTTTTCCAGAAGTTTAAAACTAAAACAGACCTCGTGCCAGAACAGGTAAGTCAGAGCGCGCAGCTCCTTCTCGGGCTCTTGACGGTGCTCTGCGGGAGTGACTCCTGAGGAGAGGCGACTCTTCACAGCACGCTCCGTCTCTGGCAGCCCCTAGGGGCCCGGCCGCGCTGTCCCCGGAGGGTTCAACCTTCCAAAGAGCGTCGGCGACGGGAGACGCGGTGACGCTGGCCGGTGACAGGGAAGCTTAGCACCAGGAAGCACCTTTGACTCGGGAAGTTGACATGATGTGGCAGCCCACAGACGCTTCATGCGAAAGGCGTTGGGCTTTGCCCCTCGAGCCGCACGAGGAACTCTTAATCGCAGCGACATCCGCAGCGTGAAGAACCCAGGGGCAGGTCGGGAGTTCACTGTCCTCCGTGTCGCTCACGAGCAACTCAGTCAGTGCCACAAGCCACCTCTGACGAGAGTCCGGGGCTCGGGGAGCGCGCTGGGCCTGCAGGGAGGGGGGCTTCGGGCCGTGCCTGTCGTTGCACCGGCGGAGGGAAAGCGCGCAGTTGCCACGTCGGCTTTTATTTACCTCTTAGCGTAAGTTTTAGTCGTCAGTGGTGTCGGTGGTCAGGCACTGCCGGTCACGGTCAGCCTGCCTTCCCGGAGCCCCTCACGGGGCGGCGCCTCGTTCTCCCCCCGGGGTGACCGGGTCTTTTACCTCCATACGTCTGTGACAAGACCGGGACGTGTCGCTGCGTCACTGACACTGGCATGCGGAGGGTCCGGGGGGTCAGTGTTCTCCCACCGGCCACATCCCTGCTGCCCAGATAACTCACTCGTGTTTGCCTTTTCTTAAAGACTCGCTTACTCATTCAAGAGCTGGGGTGCAGGCCAGAGGCGCGGGGGTAAGAACTCCCCAGAGCCAGAGTGGGAGCAGGACAGGCAGGTCCACTGAGAGCCGCCGCTGAGGGGCAGCGGGGACGCTGGAGGGGGCGGCCGCGCCCTGGGGGTCCCTCCCTGGCCGGGATCGCGCTCGTGCGGCAGTGGCCACGGACAGCTCCGTAGCGCTGCTTCGACCCGCCGCGCACCGGGGGGGCCCGTTCCATGGCTTGAAGCGAAGTTTCCCGTCACCCAGGTGAAGGCGAGTGGGCTGGCAGCGCCTTGGACACAGGACCTGGCGCTGGGCAGCAGGACACCTTAGGCCCTTCACCGTGGCCATGGGGCCCCGGCCCCGCCGGGGCATCGGCTCGGAGCCCCGAGCCAGCCTGAGGAGGCCGAGACGCGCTCGCCGCGCCGCCCTCTGCGCAGCCCCTGCAGACCGGCCGGCAGGGCCTCGGGGGCTCCTAGCGCAGACGTGACCCTGTTCGGTTTTAGATCCTCAGGTACGGCAGAGGCATCGCCCCCGTCTGGATTTCTGGCGAGAATGTCCCTCGGGAGGAGGACATCCCTGATTGCCCCTGTGGTGCCAAGAGAATATTCGAGTTTCAGGTGGGACCTGAAGAAAGAGCCGGGTTGGGGGATGACAGTGCACCCCGGTCTGTGCTTTGAAACACTAAGGAAACGGCGGAGTGAGCCCTCCCGCCCCCGCCCCACCTCCGCGGCGCACAGCTGCCCTCGGGCCGC